CTTGAAAGAGCATCACGAAATTAGTAATATTCCAAAGTTTCGTTGCGAAATGTTGTAAAATGCGGATAATATAGCCTTGCAAAATTTGCCGTTTTTCAGTCATTTTGTATTACGCACTGGAAATTGACAGCCCAATCGGGTGTTGGGGCATCAATTTCCCGTTTGTAATCTAAAATGACTGAAATTTCAAATTTCGCAAGGCTATATTATCCGCATTTTACAACATTTCGCAACGAAACTTTGGAATATTACTAATTTTGTGATGCTCTTAAGCTCTTTCAAGCTGTGATAAAATTTTTGTCTAGATCAAAATTTAGTCTATAATGCAAATGGTCCATTGAAGTGGCAAATGTCAGATGGTCTGATCGATCGGACAAGCGTGTTTACGATCGGACACAGAGGATCGGACAAAAATTTTAACGATGATGAAATTACGTCATTTGAACACTAGGGTTGCAAACTAAAGTCTAAAGAGCCTGGGCACGAGGCTATGCCAAATGTAAGTGGCAAATGTCAGATGGTCCGATCAATGTATTTAGAAATGCTAAACATTGTGTCCTGAATACATTAGATTTTAAACCCGTGCCTCATTGGGTTATTTGGATAGCATATCCCAGACCTTATCGATTTGAGTTGCTGGAAGGTTAGACCGATCGACGAAACAAGTTAGTGACGGAGTTGTGGTATTCACATAAACATCCAAGGAAGTACTTAACTGAAGATTCTATAAGAATATATCTACAGTATAATGTAACGCTGTGCATCTAAAAATCTGTTCACAAAATGCACGAAATGCAGTCCTAGGGGTGGAAAAACACAAAAATTTTCTGGGGGAAAATCCCCCAGACCTCCCTTACTATTACGTACAAACGGTACAATAGTGTGGTCCCTCTTTGTAGATTGCTCTCTCCCCACGGACAAATTCTTAAAAAAGGCTCTGGCAAGCAACAAATGTTGGTGAGCGTTCCGTATGGTGGTGCATGTGAATGTGATGTGATCATTGTTAAAAAATTTAAATTTCGTAAGCAAATAAACTATCATAGAACATGAAAGGCTGTAATAAACAATTTTACTTTGTCACGTTTGGTGAAAACTAAAAACTATGAAATATATTTAAAACTGCACGCGCTAATTCAGGTACCAAACGCGCAGATGCGAAAACTAGACGCGCAAAAATCCGGAAAATTTTGATCTCGGTTGCGCAATTTGCAAACTTTCCAGTCTGGGCCTTAATCAATTAGTTACGGGGGGGGGGGCATTGGGGTGTATTGAATACCGTAATACCGCAAGCAAATGTTGTCAATAGCCGCAGTTTCCGAGTCCAAAATTGCAAACACCGTGTACGGTGTATCACAAGATTTCCAATATCATGCCGCAATTTTTCAAGGAAAATACCGAAATACCACATGACAAATAAGCTAGGCTGATTACGCTGATACCGCCATACCGTAAATCCCAATGTCCTCCCCTTTCAATACCTTATTGCAAGACAAGCGAAATTTACGTTCTTGTCTGTTTGAGTAATTTATAATCAAAAAGTGCGCCCATAGGCGACATCAATGTCACCCTCCCCAACCTCAGAGATTCCAGAGTTAGTCAATGGACGGCTTTGACTAGTTGCATGGGAGGACAACACCGAGCCCAAACTCATAACGCGGCTTGGTCCACGTATTGATGCCACCTTTTCTATCACTAGCCACTTCCACGATATATGCGCGTTCTATATTCGTATTTATGTACGTAAATGTGCATCGATGCAGTCATTGAGGGACGCAGTCAAGGATTGTAATGATGAGCTCTCTTCTGCGCATGATAAGAATAAATGGTCCAGCTGTGCATATGGCATAATTTGAGAATAATTCACGCATAAGCGCGCGAAACTTACATCAAGTTGACAAGCTCTTTGCTTATATATAAAGTCCGACGTCCGTACGTTTGTGGTTATAAACTCGAACTAGGTGGATAAATTAAAATCAAGACCGCGATAGTAATGTTCAGGAACATTGTCATTGTAAGGTAAAGTTAACTTATCATTTATTTCCACCGAGTAATGAGTGTATTCAGAATCCTTCGCGCGATTGCAATAGTTGATATGATATAGATTGGACGCGCGGAGCAATAAATAAAACACGATGCCGTGTTGAAGAACTTGCTTGATTAAACGCCACGCATCGCTGTTTATCCCAATTCAATCTCGCTATGATTTTTATTAGGCGCAGAGATTATCGTGTACTGTATCTAAACTGTAAAGTAATATCAAGTAAAATGTGTTGACAAACAGCTCGAATATAAAGTCGATTAAAATGACCAAGGTGAACTGAAATACAGTACTGCCAAGAAAAACTTATCAAAAACCGCGTCCAAGACGCGGGTATCTTGCGTCCACTGTGCGTCCACGGGCGCCCGCGGGTGCTGTGCGTCCGTCGTGCATCCACTCTGCGTCTGCGGGTGCTTGCGGGTGCGTCCACTGTGTGGGCGCCATGCGTCCGCTTTGCGTCTGCGGGCCACAGGCAAGGACGCAGCTGAGAAAGAGTTCTCTTCGTCGATCGTCGGAAATTATCGCGTTTCACTTTTCATAAACAAACCGTGGGCATCGGAAAATATTCATGTTAGCGATTTCACACCACGTTTTTATACTTATACACAAGCGTTGCAGAGGTAGATTTTTATATTTCTAATATTAAACTTACCGTGAATTTTCAGAACTTGTCTTTCGTAAAGTCCCTTTTCGTATTTGATCTCTACTTTCGCACCTTCGTATAACGTTTAGTTTAAACCCAGTATTATTTTAACGTTGCCGGTTGTCAAAATGCACGTATGGTTTTATATCTTCTTCGAAGAAACCCAACATACACGTTTTGGTTGACGAATAAGCGATCGATACCTCATTTTATTAGTCTGATAGTAATACAGATCGAGTGATATTAGTCTGAGCTCTTCACTTCAGCTTTAGCGAATTATACTGCAACTTTGAAAATCAAGCGATGAGTCACAGTCATTGAACCGTGTTGAAACACAAAGACTGTTTCCTGGACATGTAAAGGTATTCCATTAAGGGATTAAGAGAAGTCATTTATCCAGAAATTATATGGTAATTATCAATTTATATGACATATCACCATGTGCATTTACTTTGTTTTGGAAAAACAACAAAAACTTGTTGCTGTAAATAAAGTTATATAGTGGCTCGTAGTAATGGTATTTTATATGAAAAATCAAAACCACTATATATATATTGTAAATATTAAGCATCTTCGTTTTAATATACTGACGAGTTACGGAGACATAGCATTATTCAAATACAGAATTTCATATCACTAATCGTCAATCTTCTACGAGTTAAGTCAGAATTTGAGTAGCAAATGAATGTGTTGCGAGATATATACTCGTTGTAGTCGTGATCTCACTGAGTTTAGTATATGTGTCTACATTATATTTATATATAGTTTATGTCAATTTTACGCTCCAATATACAGTCACATACGCTTCAGTCGCCACTCAAGTACGTGGGATTGTATTGTGAAAGCACTACGCTTACTGTAGTATAACGTATAACATTATAAAATTGGTTATACTAAAAAGCTTAGATTCAATTAAACTCGTTTTTGGATTCAACTTTTTATTCTTTGCTTCTCCGATCAGTGACACCGATCTGTATTCTCACGACAAACTACGAGTATGATGCAAATATTAGTTCGTTTTTCCGATTATGTTACGATGACTGTGTCCAAGCGGACGCAGTTTTGTCTAGAGGCTGGACGCGGGTGCTTTGGAGGCAGGACGCAGGCAGAGCAGACGCAAGACGCGGGCATCGTGGAGGCTGGACGCGGGCGGTCTGGAGGCAGGACGCGGGCAGAGTGGACGCAAGACGCGGGCGCTCTGGAGGCAGGACGCGGGCAGACGCGGGGACAAGTTATTTCTTGGCAGTACTGTACAGGCAATTTTGGCTTCTATATCACAAACAGGATTTCTGTACGTGTTTGCCTTTGACCGCAACCTCTTCCAATATTATATTAACTAAAACCTGAACGTATTTTCAATTGTAACAAATATAATGAGTTGTTTTGGTGATAGTTATTACATGCTTGTATATTAGACAGTAATTGTTTGTATATTAGTAATCGTTTTAATCAAACTATTTAGGTTGTTATTTCCAGTTTTCGTTTGTCTTTTATGTGAAAATTAAACGTAAGTCTTACCCCTGCGACTACAAGTGTGCATGCGTTCCATACATACTGTATGCATCTTCAGCTATTTTGCACATTTTGCGTATGGATAGCGTGTTTTAACACATATTTAATACGTCATCTATTGGGATTTTGTAATATATACATAGCGCGTAACATGCTTTTCGTCATGCAGATGTCTGTATCAGCTTTAATTTAAATGATTTAAATGAATCTTATAAACATGTTAAGAATCAGGGAAAGTTATATGTATCAACACTATGCAAGGCATGGTTTTAGAAAATTGTATGCCGACGTTAGCATTAATATAGGGCTGTTATAATTGATGCCTCGTACCTCGGACCATGCATCTTCAACTCAATTAAGAACTATATAATTTAACAGCTGAAGGAAACATCTGGTTTACATTCACTGAGTGATAATACGTGGGTATTTCCTGACCCCTTGATCTTAGTGACGATCATAATTAAATTAAATTAGCAAACCAGATATATCTCCCACATTTTGCGTACATTATTTCATATTTCCTGCATTTTGCACCTAAACTGAGCTAAGCGTGCATTACTGCGAAATTGTGTACGCACCAGGTGTTGTTGTGCAGATTAAGTATTGACAATTTGAGAGTCCGGTTTTAGTTGACAGTCCGGAAAATTACGGACACACGTTAAATGAAGAAAAGTTGCAAAGACTTCAGTTAAAGAACAAACCAATTTACAGATACCATGCTTGTCATCTAGTCGTCCACATCAGTCTGCAGCAGTTCAGTCTGTTCATTCATCCACCTCAAAGATATCTGTACCAAAAGAGATCACAATGGATAACATCGAAGACGTCTTTGAAGACCTTACAGAGTACGTTATGATCGAAAACAACAAAGAATTAAATCTTAAGTTGCCTAACACAATCGTTGCAATGAAATCTTGCACGAATGCTGGCGAACCGCTCAAGAATATTCTAAAACGTGGAGCAAGGGTTAAGATATTTTGGGGCAAAGACGACTGCAAGGATACAGGGTGGCATGAAGGTTGGTATCTAGCGATAGTGAAAGAAGTCCTTGACTTTGAGGAAACCATGGCAAATATAACTTACGTTGTAGAACCGAAATGTTTGTATGAAATGAACGTTTCACAACTGTTAAATGAAGGGCATCTTATGTTACACAATGGGTCAGAATTGGAGCAATTCTTTGAAATTGGGAGCCAAGTGAAGGTAAAATGGACCAAGGACGAAATTGGTGATTCGCATTGGAGACCTGGATGGTACGTTGGAGAAGTACAGACATCCGATCTGGATTCTGATGAAATAGAAGTAATGCTTTACTCAGAGCCTGATGTGACTTATTGCTACGATGTGACTTTTGGGGTGGCAAATGGAAGTTTGCAAATGGTCAATGCCATTTTTTAAGCTGCTTTTATCGTCAGTCTATGGAACAGATAACCACTTGGGATAAACTTATCACTAAATATAATTTATAACAGATAGTTACCAAAGACTTTTATCTTAAAACTTGACACAATATAACTTTTTAAGTTTTTATTCAAATGCATGTAGACAGAAACCTTTCATTATTCTTAAAAAGTGTTTTTTAAACTGTTAGATTATTGGCAATTGGTTGGGAAATTCCAAAATTGCATGACAAAGTAGGAACAAAAATTTTGAAATACTGGTATAAAAAATTCTGATGTACCTACTAATTACTATTAATGAGCATATGCCATTGGAACACTAAAACTGAAGTTTTTCGACCTCTGATCAATTCTGAATGTAACAAATAACAATTTCATGAAAAGTTCATACAAATTAATGATACATATTATTAGGATAATGAGTTCTATCCTATTTAAAGGTTTTAGCCTATTTTGATAAAAATTCAAAAAGTTATAACATTGATTTTTCAGTATCTTTTATATTACACTGTTTTTTAAATGACTATAAAATAATCTGTGAAAATAACAATTAACAATTGCGTTAAAAATGTCTTAAGGATTGCCTTTGTTTGTTTGCCCAAAGGGCACTTTTGAAACCTTGAATTTATGATATTTTGCGGAAATTTTTTATCATCTCCGGGAAAAATATGATATATCTGGAAAAATTTTGGTATATCCGGATAATTTTTTTCATATTTAGGAAAAAATGTGATGTGTGCGGAAAATTTTTTTCAGTATGTCCGAAAAAATTTTTGAGACCTCCCCCCCCCCTTCGCCAACATTTCCATTTTAACAAAATCCAAAAATCCAGGGGCAGAAATTATGTTACCCTCAATAGGTTAACAAAGGTTTAGAAAATCCACGGGAAATGTTAAAATGAGAAATCCACATACCCTATTACTAAAGCAATATCCAGGGGGTATTTTTTGAAAACCCTCAATAGGGGGGGTGCGCTTAATAAATGGAATGGCCCAATGTCTCTAGTTAACCCATTGAGCTGCAATGTGCCCCAGTGTGCCCTACTTACTGAAATTGATTGATTTGTGGTTTATGGTTTTTTTTGTGGCAATTCTTTGGGCATCACAAGTGCATTTGTATATCTTGATACACTGTGAGAATACAAGTATTAGTATTTAAATGACACAATATGATGTAAGTTACCTTTCAGGTATATAATTTGTATACAGCATCAGTGGTGTAACTTAACGTTTTTGACCACTTGCCCTCAGGGCAAGTTGGACATGAAAATTGGTTGCCCTGAATAAAATCCACTTGCCATCAGGCAATGGGGTACCTACGCAGGCCAGTATAAATTAGGGAGACAACATATCCACTCATTGGACTAGTGGCATTGGCTATGTTACTGCCTCAGATCTAGACTACCTCAGATCTAGCTTTGGCTCACATATTAAACAGAATTTGAATCAAGTACACTTTTTTAATGTGACATGTACTAATCACCATTATTATTTTTTTATTAGTTTTACAATAAGAAATTGAAGGCACAGACAACAGGACTAATAAAGTCCCAAATTAAGTCCTGCCATAAATTAAGTCCTGCCATATTTCGTTATCATATCATGAATAAACATTTAATAACCAAAAAGAGAATCAATGCATAATATAATCAAACAATTTAGATGAATTTGATGCAGATGATTTGCCAGCTTGAACCAATGTCGTTGAACAGCCTTTATTCTATCCGACAATAATAATATAAACTGAAAGCTGGCCAGCTTTTTGTGGCAAAGCAACTTGCCCGTTCGGGCAACCAAGAGGAAACTTTTACTTGCCCGTCATGATATTCACTTGCCCCGGGCAAGTGTTAAGTTACACCTCTGAGCATAGTAGTTACCATTTGGCAGCTGTTGGTCTGGTTGAAGTTCTCAGATAATTTGGGGAGACCCATGGCATGCTCTCTCAACAGTGAAGGTTCAAAACACACACATGCCGGAATGCTTATAGAATACCTCGCCATTTTTTCACATTCATCGACACATAAATAAGTACAAGAATGACTTCAAAATAGTGTAAGGGTAAAGTTTAGAGATTAAATCATATGGGTACATATGTTAGTTTGGTTCAAATTTGACTGGGGGGTTTTGAAGAATGAGGCAATCATATTAGATCAATTTTGAGTAAATTGACAATGTTTACAAGGAATTAATAGCGGTAAGGTGTGAAAATTGTGGGTATTCTATAGTTGTATAAAAAAATGAAAAACCAAGCTAAAAGCCCCAAGAATACCTCATTGCCATAATGTCAAAGAGCATAGTTGCTGACTAAGAAATATCTGTTAGACCATGTACAGTACTTGAGTCTTGTGATATTGCTTTTGTATTATACGATATACTGTAAACTTGCTGTTAACATATTATATTATTAATATTCATGGTTGTCAAATATTCAATCAACACACAAAATTCACACACAAAGGTTTAAAATAATGTATATTGGTATAAACGTTTAATAAAAATGCATACATACGTAAACCATGGTCGGCATGGAATTTTGTCACTTGGCACAGTACTTTAATGTTTTTTAATGTTTGTCCCACATTAAAATATATTGAGTCAATGACAGTGCGACTGTTCATGTTAAAACGTTCTAATCACATTTTACATGCACATTTGTATTCAGTAGTAATCTTTTCATAAAGGTACATCAGTGTCCCAAATCAAATTCTTCACTGACAGTGTGTTATTGACTCCCAAACGACAAATATTATAAAACACGCTTCCAAGCTGAAAAGAAATATTTACTGTTGTCAGTCAGTGTTTAGACTCTTCTCTTTGAATCTTGATCTTCGACAAGTATTGCTGTTGATTATATTCCATATTTTTTTGAAGAACATTGCAGACTATATATTTATTTCCACTGTCAGTTGAAAAGTTTATCATCATAGTTTCAGTCGCAAAAGCTTCTATCGCCCCTTTGCACGGCCATGTTTGATAAAATCAAAGCGGCCCGCACCCCGGTTTGAAACGTTAAATATTCTGAAATATTCAAAATTTGAAGCATCACGTGACCAGCCTTTACCAGGGCCTTTGCTGCCCTTCGCCTCCTTCCTCAAAAGGCCCTGGGGACGAGGTTGCCCCACTGAGCTATAAATATATGGAGAGCGCAACTATAGATACAGAAATTGAAGCCGGAAGTCGCGTTCGGCCGCCATCTTACTGTGACCACCTTGAGGAGTGAGGATTAATACGGTATTTTCAACTGTTTTGTTCTGTTATCTCGCAATAGAGGAACAAATCAAGTCAAATATGGTATTTTAACCAAAAGCACATGTTCAAGAATGTTGGGGACCTCTTTTACATTCAAATGAACTCAATCGTAAAGAAACGTGTCAATATTTTTGACGACGTTTCTGAGTGCGACTGAGATGAATCATGAATACAGTCGTGACAACACCTTTCAAATGGGAATTTCTGATAGAGATTGGTGAATTATACCATAAGTTAACACATGAGCAATTGGTCATGAACTTTATTGTTCTGGAAATGGTGAATTTTATATGGACAAGACTCATATTTGTTTCTATCAACCTATTAATCAACGCAAACAAATTATGTCGCTTATGGGATTTGTTAAAGGAACAAATGATTCAGGATGGTAGAAAGAATAGCAGGTGCGTTGTAGTGATCTTATTTATGTTAATGGTGGGTGCTTAAACGCAATGCCTTGTGAGAATATATACCATCCCATCCCTGCTTGTGTAATATGTTCCTTATTAAAGTCATAGTCATGATTATTAATTATCACTCTTCTGAGAAGACCTCAATGGTGTTTTATTCCAAAGAAGCAGATTAAAATTAATAAATTTGAAAGAAATTGAAAGTTGTAAAATAATGGTATCTCATTTCTGTGCTTTTTAGATCCTATATAGAAACAGTATAAAGTGAAGATGGAACAATGCTGCAAACAGTTACTTCCAGTTGCATGTCTAGATATGCATTATATTGCATTGTGTAAAAACAATTTAATTGTAAAGGGTCTCTAGTATTATAGGATCTGTGTGAAATTCCAGTACTTTGTTGCCAAATACTCATTTAGTGTCTTTTGCCATTTGAATAAAGTTTAACTGCCTTGTATGAGGTAAAAATGGTTGTAACAAAAATGCAGGTTGAAATCAAGCCTTCAAAAGCATTAAACCCACATTAATATTTGCTCTATCTAGTGCCAGATGATTTTACTCATTAGTTAATTACTGTAATACTGCAAGTGAACTGTTTAACAGAACTCGTCTATCTGTATACATGGTCATTACTCCACTGTTGTCACTGCTTTGTTTTTAGGAGCCGACAATTTAACTTTTAAGGGGGGGGGGGAGTTGAGTTTGAAAAAAAATTCCTGCAAGGCTATTCTGAACAAAAAAATACCTGCACTAACAAACTGAGGGAAAAATATCCTGCCCCATTATTTGGTGGGAAAATGTTGCAAAACACCATGGTTGCAGGGATCGATTTGACCAGTCACAGAAGATCAGCTGGTTTGATTTTCAGGGACTAGTGTAAGGTTAATTTCTTGTTGGAAAACTCCTCAAAGTGAGCTTCAAGAAATCCAAAATTTTCTGGGGGGGGCATGCCCCCAGACCCTTCTAGAGGCTCCCACCTTTGATGGTCGACTCGGTTGTCTCAGAATCCTAGGTATCACTATGGCCTGATCTGCTGCCCTATGGTGCATACTTATTAGTTAAACTATGCATACATATGCTGCAAGTAGCTGCAGCAACACATACTTGCCGACTGGAACTTCTCCAGGTCCCCCGCTAAATATGTCCCTTCCAGTTACACATCCTTACAGGGCCTTTGCTAATAATCATTTTGAAAATCATGCAGACCTTTATCATTTAATCCATGACAAACTGCAAAGGATGAAGATATTACCCATATTTTCCTGCAACTTATCCAATATATAGTTCATTAAATACGCCTTCGTCCATTTAGTACTACTAAATTGTAAATTTCAACATAC